CTATAACCCTGACTGCGCCGTAGTTGTCTCTTATTACAATTATTGTCTTATTGATTATTATCAAGAAGTATTAATTCATTATTAATCATTAATTTTGATTATTAATTCGTTATTATTTTCTTATTACGAATTTTGGAGTTGTTTTTTCGGAAAAATTATCTTTTTCTGTTTCATTAGGTGTCTAAAGTCCATCATTGGGACAGGGTCTGTATGCGAATTGCCTGATCTACCCTACCCCTGTACCCACCCCTTCCCTCTCATTGTTCTGCGACCATTCGGACGAGCCAGCCTTCAGCAGCAGTTCACTGATGCCAGCAGGGAAAGTCACCGAACAGCAGCCACGCCGTAGCAGGAGGATCGCAGATCGCTAACAGCAACAGCAACGTGCAGTTCGACAGCAGTCACAGACCAGCACTGAGATGGCGAACATGCCGAAGAGTGGGATGTCATCAGAGACGTCCACATCTTGCAATGCCGAACCATTGTCGATCTGTCCAGCTCAAGGGTCGAATGAGCCCATCGCGGACTAGATTCAGAGAGTGCAGACCTATACGGCCGCACTAACCCTTGCCAAGGAACAGCAAGATGCTGCTGAAGCAGACAAACAATGGCTTACAGCAGAAGCTGCAGCCCGCACCCAGCAACAAGCTGAGGCGGCGCAGTTGGCGACCGACGAGCTCAACGTCGACAGTGTCGAGCTTCTGATCTCTCAACAAGATCAGTGGACGGCCGTACTCAACGGGATGCATTATGTGCCCGTAGCAGGCGCCGAGCCGACGACAGTACAACAGGAGAGACAAAACCTGGCAGACATTCTAGTCAACACAATATGTGCCGTTATCTGGAACAACACCATGGGGGAACTTCATTCCCGATCTACACAGCAGCTACAAAACGATCTCACCCATAACGTGAAGACGCTGGCAGCAGCCGTTAAGGTCGTGGACTCTCAGCTGAAACAAATGGACGCCCACATTGCTACTCTGGAGACAAGGCCTTCCCAAGCAGCGCTTGGCTGCACGACTGACACGACGAAGCAGCTCAACGGGAGCATCGACCATGTCGTCAATCTCATCGGCGACCTAGGTGTTTTCACTGGTACGGACACGATCAGCAGCACGGTGGCCGCCATCAAGACGGACATCACTAATCTGCAGTCGAGACCAGATGCCGCTACAAAGAACTACAAGATGTCGCACTTCAACATCAGCAAGTTCAACGACTACAACAAGACACACGCCTTGACATGGTGGCAAGGTTTCCTCACGGAAGCATCTTGCCGCACTGTCCCGGCTGAGGACATGTTGAAGGCGCTCTACCTACAACTGATTGGAGGAGCACAGGCATGGATGAACCATCTGGCGGCAACCAAGCAATGCACCATCGCCGAACTCCACACGCACATTACGTGGAAGGAGTTCGAGCAACTATGGTTCACTCGGTTCATGGTCCACAACGTCGTGAAGGCGGCCATGAACGAGGTGTATACCAGCTCACAAGGAAGCATGCCAACTCGAGATTAAACTATAAAGTGGCAAAAGATAGTGACCACGCCACGCTTCAATTTGAGCTTTCCAAACAAACGATCCGACTTTTTCTCGCGATCGTGCACAGGATTGCGGTCGGCACTCAGCAACGAGTACGACTATGCCTCGTTCCAGGCTATTCTGGATCGCGCGAACCTGTTCATCCAAAAGGACGACAAGACCGCTAACGAGAAGCAGTCCCACCCGCACTATGTGGCTAAGCAGGGCTATCAACGACCGACACATAACAATGCCGTGATTTCTGAAGAAACAGTCGATCTCCACGCTGCAGCAGCATCCTCGGGTGATGGAGGAGTTCTTGCAGCGCTCCTGCTGAAGCGTCCCAACAGAGTTCGGAAGAACAAGGCGACATACGTGACGACATCGGCAGGAACTGGGCAGCAACCATGGACGGCATACAAGATAACCAAGGAAGTATATGACCTTCGTCAACGGTATAGATATTGCCTTTGGTGCAATGGTGTCACTCACTTGACCGCACAATGCCCCGACAAGGGCAAGGCACGTGTACCCCGTCCAGCGAACTCGGGAAACTGAGTTGCGCAAGGAGAGAGGCGATGTCTCTCCTCACTCCGCCGGAACCGGTTGCCTTGCTAGCAATCGATGTCACTACTGGAGAGCATGCGTTAGTCGCTGACTCTCGTGCTACGTATGAGGATTATGCCGCCCAGCTGGTACCACCACTAGACCAGCTGAGCCACGTGCACTTAGATTGCGTATGCGCAACTTGTACACCGTCGGCAAGTGATCCGGTCAGCTCGTCACTGATTTCCGAGGACAGGACGGCGTGGTCAAGACTTGAGGAGCTTGACCCGCTCACGAAAGAGGACTTCGATTGGATGCCTCTTCCCTCAACTGGAACCTTGCCAAGGCCGCATTGCAACACCTTAATGGCAAATCTACGCTCCTATTTGCACACTACAGTACCAGCTCCATTGACGGACAACGAAGTAGCGGTTGTCGATCTCCGCTCCTATCTTGCGAAGATTGACCTTGAGTACGCCACCCAAACGTACGTTGAAACCGACGCGCCTTTGCTCTGTATCCGCATTCAAATCGGAAAGGCAACCTGTAGTGCCTTGATTGATTGCAGAGCTTCTCACAACTTTATGACCCAAGCCTTTATGGCCCGCGCAGGCCTTGGCCCATGTGTTTGAAGAAAGACGCAACCTACGCAAGTAACACTCGCGCATGGCCGCACACAAAAGTCAATTGACGGATGCGTCGACGGCGTTCCGGTATACTTTGCGCCACTTGCGTGCGAGCCGGTGTCTTTTGACATCCTCGACACCAAGTTCGATATGATTCTAGGCATGTTTTCGTTGCATAGCGCCGATCATCCGGTGAACTTCCACGACCGAACCGTTCACATATGTGATCGGAACGGAGTGTTTGTCCCATGTACGGTCGCGACCCCTCACACTTCGATTGTTTGTCACGTGGTCTCCGTTGCGAGAATTTGCGACGCCATAGCTCGGAATGACATTGAGGAGATGAGCCTTGTATTCTTGCATGCTCTCCCCTCGCCGGACGGACCAGCCGCGTCACCGCCGGACCCACGCATTTCTCACCTCTTGGACGAGTATAGAGACGTCTTTGAGGCTTTCATCGGAATGGTTCCGGATCGGCCCATACGTCACGGGATCACTCTCGAGGCTGGAGCCGTCCCTCTGCGTGGATGTATCTACTGCATGAGCGAAGAGGAACTCAAGGTGCTTCGCGCACAACTCAACGACCTTCTCGACAAGGGCTGGATTCGCCCTAGTTGTTCGCCTTACGGTGCCCCTGTTCTCTTCGTCCCGAAGCAGAACAAAGATCTACGGTTATGCATCGATTATCGCAAACTTAACGCACAAATCGTAAAGAATGTCGGCCCTCTCCCTCGGATTGATGATCTCCTTGAGTGGTTAGGCAGCGCCACATACTTCTTGAAGTTGGACTTGAAGTCAGGTTACCACCAAATCGAAATCCACCTTCAAGATCGGTACAAAACCGCGTTCAGGACGAGGTACGGGCACTTTGAGTGGGTTGTTATGCCATTTGGCCTCACCAATGCCCCCGCAACTTTCCAAGCAGCGATGACGACTGAGTTTCGCAACTTGCTCGATCGCAGCATCCTCATCTACCTTGATAACATATTGGTTTATAGTAGGACGTTGGACGAGCATATCGTACACCTTCGCGTTGTTTTGGATCGTTTGCGACTGGTCAAGTACAAAGCGAGCCTCGACAAGTGCAATTTCGCCAAGCATGAGCTTGAGTACTTGGGCCACTATGTTACGCCGAAAGACATTCATCCCTTAGCGGACAAGATCCTAGCCATCGTGGATTGGTCGTAACCCCGTTGCACGACGGATGTACGCTCTTTCATGGGTTTGGCTGGATATTATCAGCGATTCGTTGAGTCATACTCGAAAGTGGCCGCTCCTTTGTTGAGACTTCAGTCCTCGAAGGTGCCCTTCGAGTTCGACGACGCAGCCCGTGGCGCGTTCACTACGTTGAAGGCAGCTATGCAAGCCGCACCTGCCGTCCGTATATACGACCCCACCCTTCCCACCCAAGTGACTACGGACGCTTCGAGATACGGTATTGGTGCGGGCGGTGTTGGAACAATGTCACGAGGACGGTTGACATCCGGTCGAGTACTTCTCCCAAAAGGTGCCTCTCGTCAACACTCTCGACAACGCTAGGAAGAAAGAGTTACTCGCGTTCGTCACCGTTCTCAAACGGTGGCGCCACTTTCTTATCGGTTGTCGGCGTTTTAAATGGAACACGGACAACAATCCGTTGACCTTTTATGAAACGTAGGATACGGTCACTAGCACGATCGGTCGAGGGATGTATTACATCGACCAATTCGACTTTCACCCGTGCCACATTCCCGGTCCCGCCAATCGAGCTGCGGACGCCCCCTCACGACGACCCGATTTTTGTGCCATTGTGACCACGGCATTCGCCGGCTTGCCACTATTGGATTTCCGACTAGTTCCTTCTCCTTCACACGAGAGGAAAAAACTTGTTAGTTGTGCCCCAAGATTGCATCTTACGGACTCGTTTTCTCGGCGAATTCCACGACGCACATCTTTTAGCACACCTTGGTGTAAACCGCACATTAGCACGCCTCCGCCAGCGTTTTCACTGGCCCGACGTCCTTCATGACGTCACGAGGTACATTGAGTCATGTGCAGTTTGTCACCGTAACAAGCATCGATCTCGAGTCCCCTTCGGCGAACTGAAACCGTTGTCGATTCCTCAGGCACCGCGCCTCTCCATTGCTATGGACGTGACACGCCCGTTCCCCCATGATCGCCTCGGCCATGACGGTATTCTCATGGTCGTTGACCATTTCAACAAGTATGCTCGCTTTCTTCCGTGCAAGTATCATGCTGCAGCACCTGAGCTCGCACGACTCTTGTACACCGGTTGGATTACCAATCAGGGTGTTCCGGAAGACATAGTGAGCGACCAAGATACTCGCTTCATGTTGACCTTTTGGACTTCCCTTATGGCTGAGCCCGGCACGATAATGAAGCCAAGCTCGTCTCGGTACCCGCAGATGGATGGCCAGACGAAGTGAGCACACCAGACCGCTCAGATGATGTTGTGTACGCTCATCCGTCCCGACCAGAAAGATTGGGTTGACCGGCTTCCTGACATTGAGTTCGCCTACAACACTTCGGTGCAYCCGGCGATCTCCGTCACACCATTCGAGCTTCATCATGGTGGAGAAAAAACACGGATCTTCGTTGATCTCCTTCTGCCACAGGCCGCCGGCATAGACGTCCCTTGCTCTCCAGTTTCAGTCCGGAAGTACCGGGACTTGCTGATCAAAGCCCGCGCGAATATGCAAAAGGCTTAGATCGGCATGCAGCAGCAGGCTAACCGACGTGGACTTCCATATCCTTTCCGCGAGGGAGACCTTGTTTGGGTCCTCTCCGAGGAATTTGCGCTCGAGCAGGACGTTTTGGGCAAACACCTTCCGAAATGGTTCGGCGCATGGGAAGTCACTTCTATCGTTGGAGACAACCCCGCAGGTCCTTCTTTTGTGGTCAACATTCCTCCGCACCTTACAGTGCACCGGGTCTTCCACGCATCACTGGTAGGGTGATCTCTAAAGCTTTGCAGTGAGAAAAACTCCGTCGTCTCTTATAAAGTATAGGAGAGCGGGAAAATACAAAATCCAAAAGAGCGGAAAACCGAAATAAAAATTCAAAAAACCTTAATTTACAAAAACTTTGAAATTTCGGGGTACATCCTGGAGAGCTTTCGCTCCTAGGGACTCCCAGAAAACTTAGCAAACTTTGCTTAGGTCGAGAGAGAGAGAGAGAGGGAGAGAAAGAGAGAGAGAGAGAGAGAGAGAGAGAGAGAGAGAGAGAGAGAGAGAGAGAGAGACCTCCGTGGGGTAGCCCCGGAGGCGCGCTTCGCTCATGATGGCAGTTAGAGTAGCTAAAGTAGCATCTTCTAAAGTCGACATGCGACAGGCCCTTAACATACTTGCGAAGACGGATGCTTTCTTCGTTGATTTTTTGGAGAAAGATGAGTAGTCTTGCAGTGATTGTATCCCTATCTTCCGTGTCTGTGTGAGGGATTGCTGGTTTCTCGATCTTGGGAATACGTGCAGGGAAATATGTATTATTTCCACCACGACACGTGTTCCCAGAAAATCAAAGGAGTTATTTCCTTCGTTTTTTCTAACCAGTGAGCGGCTCTGATCACAGCAGACTTCAAAAATATCCAGAATCCTTCCGGCCTTCATTTTGGACTGATGGTTTGTCGATTGGTAACCCACGAATATCGCAACGTCGTCGATCATTCTCAAACCTGCAACCAAAGACCTATCACATCCCAGAGTTTCCAAGAAATTTGCCTCGGCATGTGCGCAAACCAGGCAAGCCAACGCTGGGCTTGAGCTCCTCCCCATTGGGATTCCGAAATTCTGTTTTAGAATTTCTTTCGTACAAAGGATAAAGGTGTGATTCAGTTCAAATCGTACTGCTTCGGTGATAGCAACGAATTTGAGGAGCACAAACTCTTCACTATTTCTGAAGTTTTTTGCCATCATGTACACTTTACCTCTTCGACTTACTCTAACCGCCACGAAGCCTCTCTGACTCGTTCGCTCTGTTAGCCAAGTTACTGCCTCTATTACACTCTGATGGGAGGGACGTAGGAACATATCTTTTATATCATAACTCCTAGGTATCACTCCATCTCCGACCTTCTTCAGTTCCTCAATGATCTTTCCTCCTTTTTCACACAATTGGTCGGAAGACCTAAAGTCAAAGTGGTTCCTATCACCTAGTGCAAGAGTCATGTGTCTAATTGCTCTTCCCATTCTTAATCCCACTTATCTGGCAGGATCGTGTGTCGCAGGTGAGATCGGTCTCCACCGATCAGTATCCTTATCTTTCAGTAAAACATAAGCCCCTCCTATCTTTCCTCCTTTTCCCCACATTGCGAATTCTTTGAAAATATTCGCGCAATACTTCTCTTTCATTTCCCGAAGCACTTCCTTTTCATCTTTGATGACTGGGGCAAAACTTGGGTTCCAATTAAAAGTCATTGTGCAAGCGTGATGGTAGAGAATGGGGCACAAGATAAGAGTGCCCCCTGGATTCTTATCAATCGGGATCGCCACCAATTGTTCGAAAGGTCTAAACCATGATCTCACCTCTTTCTCTGTCATCCCTTATCGTTTCGGTGTTAGAGTAGGAGCGCAGCGCCATTCTTAGCGCAGCATAGAGGAGCAGCAGCAGTGCAGCTAGCGCAGCAGCAACAGCGAGCGAGGAGTCAGCCAGCGGACAGCCATAGCCGACTTCGGCGCCAGGCAGTTGCAACAGACCAGGTACTCGGGGGTGAGGTTGTCTCCTCCCCCCACGGTCCCTGGTTGTGACAACCTGTTTCGTCGGAGTTTCACCGACTCATCATATATATCAACGAGGTCCATTATTGGGGTTGATCAAAGCACCATCACTGCTGGAAGTCGGGTCCAGCCTCCCTGCTGGAAGCCGGGTCCAGTATCCCATTTGTATGCGCGTGTGACCGAACTTATCCGCACTGCTGTCCAGATACATCAGAGGCGGCGGTTATTTTTAGGGGGAAGGGTCCCAACTTGCCTGGGCWCGCCCTCCTCGCCTGRCCACTTCATGGTCCCTGCGCCATGCCCACGGCCGCTGTAAACACTGCTTGGTCTACTCTGTCAAAGTCCACTGTGACACCAGCATACACGCGCTAACAAAGCAAAAACGCAAACACGAAGTTGGTTGTGTTTGACTGACTGTATGTAGTCGTGACTCTGTTTGTGTATGCGTGTGTGTGTGTGCCGTCTGTGAATCTGCCTCCATTTAGCCATGTGCGGCCTTGTGCGCTGCATGCATTCCGGCCTCCTGGTGGTCCACACACATTCAAACTCAAATTGATGGGTCCGTCTGCTTGTCACGGATGAGGTCCGATCCCCGGGGTTGGAGACTTACCTGTTGGCCGGTCCGTTGCTCATCCTTGCGCCCTCTCTCTCTCTCTCACTCTCTCTCTCTCTCTCTCTCTCTCTCTCTCTCACACACACACACACACACACACACACACACACACACACACACACACAGACAGACACACACACACACACACACACACACACACACACACACTCTGTGACACAGTGTCACACACAGTTTCTCAGACTTACTACGGTTCTTGTAAAAGGTTTTGAACGGCAGTCTCCTCAGATTGCAACGTTGGTGTGAGTAAAGTCATCCACAAGTTGACCACTTTTATCACGGGTGTAGCTAACTCTGGGCCATGTGGGAAGTCCTTATCCCTAAGTCAAATAAATCCTGGGCAGACTGTCGGGGTTCAACCTCCTGATGAGTCGGTGAAAGTCGGACGAAAGAGTTTGGCACAGTCATGCTTTTTTTGAGTGTATAGCGAATATGACAACACACACACACACACACACACACACACACACACACACACACACACACAGGCGCACCCCCCCTAAAAAAAAAGAGTGCCAGTGTATATTTCTCTGGCTGAAGATTCA